AATATAGACAGGAGCAGGTGGATAAGGTGAAAAGTGATGAGAAACTGGGCACAGCAAGGCAGGTGAAGGGAACAAACCATTAAGCCAGTCATCAGCCTATGAATGCAGCATTTCAGAAAAAGACAATTTCAGGATGGATGTAGCTGTGTGATGCTCTGGGCCTGCTGCAGGTTCTGGATGACTCACTGTAGTTGTAGATGTAGAAGAAAATCCTGAAGGAGGATGTGCAGCTAGTAGTTAATGACAATATAACAGAGCCCACCACTGCTCTTTGCCTAAATAGCTTTTACCCTAAATAGATTAACCAACTTTTTAACTGCCTGTTATCATAACATGTTATCTTTGTTTCATATTCAAATTTGGTTTACGAGCAGAAACATGTACATGTGGCGCAAAACAACTATGTAAAAATGAAGATATCTCTCCCAGCTTCTTAACAAAAGGAGGATTCATGCTCTTGCCTTTTTTCGGTTCTTACAGAGCTAGAAGCATATTGTCCAGGTGTGTTTTGAATAAAATTTAGGATTTTAAAAGATATATAATTTTCAGAACTACTCAGAAATCCACTATTAAAGAAGGAAATAAAAAATTTATCCACAATGATTATTAAAATTCATAAAATAAAACATATTAAGAGAAAAATCAGAGTATGAATATATGAATCACTTGCTAATTGTATTTCTACAATAGATGGTTAAAATCGTGAGGTGAGTAATGAACTTGACATACAAATGAAAAACTGAGGTCATCTACTCACTGCATATTGCAGCCTCTCAAAAAGATAACCAGTGATGGACCATTTTGGCTCCAGGTTTTTTGCTCATATCGGATCATTTTGGGATACGGAGCAGTAAATGGACTGCAGTTACATAGGGCATTTATCCAAAGCGCTTTACAATCTGCCTCCCACTCGCCTATTCTCGCACTCACCCAGAGCCCTGTTTACGTCATCCCGGAGAACATTACATTTTTCATCTGAAAACTATTGTATAACTGCTGTAGCTATATTAAGTGTTAGTCTAAATGTGAACTTGATTCAAATGTAAGTATATAACCTACCATTGAGTTTGCTATGAGTGGACAAATCAAGCCCCACCATGAAGATCTACAGCATAAGGTATGTGACTCACAGTCGCCCCCAAGGCAGTAGCTGATGTTTAAGGTCAAGTTTAAGGAGACTTTTACCAAAGGAAGTGAAAATAAGCAACTAACCTGCTAAATGACCTGCTCTCAAGTCAGGAAAAATTCACTGAGGGCAAACTCAGTTAATCCACTTCAGTTAAATGAAAGTCTTCCTATTATTCTGTTACACAGATTTATCATCAAACTGGAAGCTTAGATGGGATCAACAAGAAAAACAACTTCCAACAATGAGGACATCAATGTCTGTCCTTATTAATGATGCTGTTGAAAATATAGTATTGACCAAAGTCTGATGTTAAAAAACAAACATTCAGAAAACAGGAAACACATGTATTATTAGCCTATAGTAAAAATTAAATCATATAACAGATTTATTAGGTACAGTAGATTTCAAGCTTGTATTTCAGTTACTTCGATTAATTTTGGTTTATAAAAGGTATGTCTTCAGAAACTTTCAATATTTGAAACTAGACACAAAATTTTTTTTTCTTGCAACAGAAATGTTGCATTATGGGTTAATTCATGCCTCCTCTACTATGGGGAGTACTGCTAATGTCACTCTTTCCCAATAGTCAGCCATTAACACCATCAACCTCATTAACACGAGGGTTGACCACAAAACGTGAATGGAAAGGAACTATGGAGGGTTAAACGGGACAAAAAAAAAATCTTTAATATAGCCTTAAACAAATAGGTGTAAAATGAATAACCTAGGGCTGGGCGATAATTCAATAACGATATATATCGATCGATAGACGTGTGGCGCAATAGAAAAAAAGAGAGTCGATAAAAGTTTGATAAAAAAGAAACGCTGTTTTCCTTCCTTCTCATTGTAGCCTAGCATGTAGGTTTATGCTAGTCGCTACTTCCTCCCAACCAATCACAATCGCGGACCCAGGCA